TCTCTCTCTCTCTCTCTCTATCTATCTATCTATCTCTCACACACACACACACACATGCACACGCTCTATCACCAAGGATGTCCTGGTCTTTTCCTCAAAGAACCAACCAGGATAATAAATTGGATTGAGGCCAAAGAACACAAGGATTCAATGCAGTACGTAGTAGAAAAGGCCGAGGCAGGCAAGCAGGAGGCAGAAATCAAACGCGCAGTGGAGAGCAGCACTGGCCAAACAGAAGGCACAACGGAACCCAAGAATTGAGAAGTGCTGGCAACAAATGACAGCTCAGATGACATCCAAGGGATACAGACAGATCAGGAGCAGCAGTCGTCAGACATGATACCGGGGGACAAAAACAAGGACTCGCAAAACAGTTTGTGAGTCAATGTAGAACTCAGAATCCAATTCTGCAAGCAACAGATGAGTACACTGGCTCAAAGAGTATGTGAAGAAAGCTACAAAAGTACGGGAGCAGTACTTGAACATCTGCACAGGCCTGCATACAACACATGAAATGAACCCGGCTTCGGATCTTCGCACCCAAAGTCTGTCTGCGCAATGCAGAAGATCGGCATGATTGCAGTAATCCAAACATCAGCTAATCAACTCGGGTACACAGAGAAGAAAAGCGCCAAACAGTAAGGCGTGAATGAAAAGATCAAGACATATACAACTCCAAATGATTCATTACAGAACCTGCATCCATGTAAATCAAAGGAAAAGAGAGAGCAGCACCACTGAGGGAGAGCCAATCGGAAGGTCAGACACAGAGGATCTTGAAAATGAAATGGTTGTAAATGAAGCTCAGACAGAGAGACTTGAGAAACACCATACAGCATACGAACCTGAGTTCACTTCCTACAACAAATTGCAGAGGGCCAGGCACCCAATGTCGTAGACATAACAAGGTTGAGAATGCACCCGCTGGTCGCTGCTCAGTTAGCAACGGACATGTCCTTCACCATGTCAAAAATCGAGGATTGTAAGGACCTGCCACACACAGTCTGAGACACAGCTGATTTCTGAGTTTTGCCAATTGAATGTATGCCTTGGTGAGTTTCCCGCTGGTTGCTGAGTTTTCCAAGTCCGTGTGTGTGCATGCTTGCTGGTCTGCGTGACTGTCTGAGTGCTTGTCGGTTTGAGTGTGCGTGTGACCCGCAAGGATACTCGTCTGTGCGGGTGGCCCGAAGGGCCGGTACTTACCTGTGGCCGTGACGTTGAGGGTTGCAGTGGGGAAAACATCCACGTGGCGGGGAGAGAGGCCCGCGACACTTAGAGCAGCGGAAAAACACTCAAGTAGCAGGTAGGCCAGTACCACACCAAGTAGATGCAGATGTGTCGGGTACTCGATGCCGCGCAGAAGAAGACAAAGTTGGCATTCTTAGCGGCCCAGTAGTTGTAGGCTAGGTCTAGGCGGGTACCAGTCCAAGTAGTCTTAGTCCAGGGCCTGTACGGGCAATACAAGAGTCTGCAATGATGTTTCCCTCCGAAAGGGAGGAGGTACCGGTTGCTTGGAGGCCGCGCGGCCCGGAAGTCACTGCCCACGAG